CTAGAGGAGCAGTCCTGGATGTTACTGTAATGTTATTACTTTTCCCAGTAACTAGTAGTGTAAAGGATTACTACGTTTGATGTTTTGTAAAAAGACTGAATAATGCTCTTATAAATGCATGTGCAGAAAAACAGTTACGCTATCAGTAACAGAACTGTAACAGCATTGTTGGTCTATTGAATTGAATCTAGAAGTAGTTAACTAACGTTAATGTGGTGGATCAATGAATGTGGGATGCTGTGTGTGTGTGTGTGTGTGTGTGTGTGTACAGTAGTAGCAGTTCCTGGATGCTTGCTCATGCATTTAAGCTGATACAATACATAACCTACGATCGACAATGTTTTTTTTTTATCTTGAGAGGATGTGGACCATTTTTTAGTGCTAATATTCTGTAATGAATGAGTTTTGGTGATAGAACTGCACATAAGCCTATGTTCATTGTTATTACTGCTACTGAAAAGCCTCAGCTTTCCATTATTGTTAATAATAGTTGCAACTTGCACTGTGAAATGTGCATTGGAAATTGCCAGATGATAAAAGCAGATTCATATAACATCTAAGGCTAAATGTAGCTCTTAACTGGCTGAGTTAGATGCTGATTAACACTAAACATTAGACATTTCCACTATAAATTGGTGCAGAATGTCTCCAGAATGCAGGAAATTAAATGTTTAATGCTCAAAATCTTCTGGGGGAGAACCCCCACACCCCCCACTCATCAATGAATATTTCTTTAAATACTATTAAAATATCTTGTAGTCTTGATCTCGTGACCCCAATATTCTGGATTGTCACATCTCATATGCTAAGTGTTTTGTCACAACTCTAACCTGAGCCCTAAAATGTCCCCACCACATTTGAACACAAAGTGACGCCCTTTCCCACCTGTAACTGTCATTGGCTGTTAAAGTCTTTGCGTTGTTGATAACACATAGCCTAAGCAGTCCTTCAGAATGCTCCCTATTACATGTACATGCATACTGTATGTAGTAGTGAGTGTAGTGGCGCTTATGGGACGTCACGCTGGGACGGGGGAGTATGAGGCTGGGAGGGAAAAATCATAGTATACTCACTAGAAAAAACTAGACTACACTACGCCGTAGTGTCATTAAATTGTCTATATTCCTTCTCTTCAACAATATAGATTTTAATGTCCTTTCCTCAACATCTCCCTCAGGACAAAACGTTTACATTTTTACTGGCCTCAAAGAGGTCTCAAAATTGTTTGGTCTGTCCAACGCTTTCATAATGCAGCTGTTATGACCATTGCACCCTGTAGGGGATGCTAGCAGGACTTTCCTCTGCTTTCCACTGTTTATTCAAGTCTCCCTCCCTCACCATTTCACTTGCACACGCATTATTTACCAAACACATACATCTGATGAAGAAATTGATGAATAAATACTAATAATGTATTTGCTTTTGTATCAAAACTTTATTTATCAAACAAAAAGAATGCACCATTGAAATAACATTTCTATAAAAAAGGACCATGGGACTGTTCTACAGTGCATTACAAAACCAGCAATTGTATACAACATTGTGGATAGAAACTTCGCTTTACTTCATCTGAGATACATCAACATCATCGTCATCGTCTTAATCTTCTTCATTATCATCATCATCTTCTTTTCTCTCCTTCACTCAAATGAACAAAATGTACACTCTTAAATATTGCAGTCACTAAGCTAATTTGGTTATAATGACTCCAGGATTGGACATTTTATTTAAAGGACAGAGTCAATCTGTATTTACTCAGAGCCGTCCGACTGTCGGCTCCTCTGTTGAACAATGATGTTCTGGAAATGAAGTAATTGTCTGTGTGAGAGGAGATAAGGGCTGTTTTAATTTGGCCCCTTTCACCCCGATGAGATGAGGTCCAAATCATATTTTAGTTTTTTCTACCCCATTATTTTCTTTTTGTGAGCCGTCGGCCTGAAACTGTCTGTGCTGGAGCTGACAGAGTCGATTTCACACCGACATCAGGCCACTTTCAAAGTCAGAGCATCCCTGACCAACCTCACTTCGTCTTTTTTGACTGTGTAATTTGTCCCTTTTTTGATCCTCAGTGGTTCCCACACAGGAGTGAAGCGCCCAAAGAAAGAAGTTAATGAAGTTGAGTTTCCCTTTGAAATGCGGGAGCAGAGCCCCCCCAGTTTCCACCTTATCAGGTTGGTGTTTCTGAGTTTCACACAGTCACCACAGGGTGAGTCTTTACAGAAGACAAGGTGTTTGTGAAGGACCATCCTGGTGTGTCTCTGCATGTTATAGTCCTTTCCTGCAGAGCATCACTCTTTACGTTAATTTCCTACCTTCCAGGCTGCCAGTTTTTTGGTCAAAAATATATTGTGGTAATGCATCTGTGAGCAGGGACTGTTTTAAAAACTCTCCATGGTGGTGCTCTCCAGTGGAGAACTCATCATCATCTGCTCCTTATTAAAAAGGAAAAAATTATGAAAGTGGATTCTTTCATGATTTTTTGTGCATGTCTGCAAACCACGTTTGAGCCTGACCAATTTTAGATTATCACACCTATATCCCATCGGTCTGCAGGGTTTTTTTAGTAGCCAAAAGCATTTATCTGACAAACTATGTCATCAATAGTACAGACTAATAATCAAACACAGAAGACAAATAATGAAACAAAGACAAATGACAATGGGAATTCTTAAAAGTTCCTCTACCAGCAGACCTCCCTGTCAAATCTCTGATGTCAGCGCGTCTTCGAATGCACCAAAGGAGTTTTCAAAACAGTCACTGCTCTCAACTGCATTACCACTGACGAACGATACTGACTAGAAATTGACTGTGATGGAATTTCTATCTCGAACAAGAGTCTACAAAAAGCAACTACACCTTAGCTCCACCCAGGCTCTGTCCTCTTTGCCCTCCGTTGTTGAGGTGTTCCAACAACACAGACCGTAGGGATATGTTGGACATTATATACGTTATAGTTATAAAGGATAACTGCATAGATGCGATCAATCTACAGATTCTAGACTGAAAATAAACAGAAACAGGTGGTGGTGACTGTGTGTCCTCAGAGTGACGAACCATTTCAATGTGTCCTTAAGAAATGTAAATAACCTTTCTACAATATTATTTAAAAAATACAGAAACCTTTTAAGGCAATAAAGGAAAAAAAAAAAACGCTTCGGTCCTCTTTTCATTTTGTTCTTTGCTAAACTAAATTTACATTTGCAGAAATATCACATGGTTATAAATAATAGTTTTAAAGAGCACTCGAAATAAAGTGATAATAATACCAATACCAATAATAATAATAATATATTAAATTTGATTATAAAAAGTTACTACTACTCTAGTGGAACTGTACACTGTAAAAAAGCAGCGTTCTGTAATGTAGTTCTGCTGCAGCGACGCTTTTCTCCACAGTAAAATACACATGTAGAACCAACAAGAAAAAACAACCCCCCCCCCCCCCCCCCCCCCCCCAACATCTGGCTGTTAGAGGCTGGGGTCAGACTGTTGAGGGGAAGCCTTCGAGACGGAGACAAGAAGTTTGGTTTGAGATTCAGTTTGTAAACTTTAACAACAAATCCCATGGCATGTGAGTTCCCTTTTAGTTTCCCTTACAGCTGAGAAAATGAAAGTGGATATTCTGTATTTTACCTACACTGACTGATGTAGTTGACGGTTTATTAACGTTATGTTTTGGGGGGATTTTTTATCTTATTTTTTATGTTTCAGTCCATTACTTTATGTAACTGTTGTGTACAGTAGTAAGTTCCAAATGAATCTTTACTGCAGTACCATAACTTTGTAAGATTATTTTCATTATTTCATTTGTCGATTATCTTATGAGTAATCGTTTGGTCTGTAAAAACCATCACAGTTTTCTAATGCCCGGTGATGTCTTTATTTTGCTTGCTTCTTCTGACAACTTCAACACTTCAAAACCCACAGTTGTGCAGAAAGGCAGCAAGTGTTGGCCATTGTTGCTTGATTAATCGATCATCACAATTAGAGCGGATTCATTTTCTTTTGATCGACTACAAACAAGTCTCGAAAAGTTGATTTTCACTTTAGATGTGAGTGGAATGAATGGACTAAAATATGTAAAGTCCCTTATACAATCTGCAAATGAGTAAATGAGTCTGACAAGCAGGTGAAGAACTGGCCCTCTGCAATTGGCTGCTCTTTGGTGCCAGAGGATTGACTTGTGTTTACTGGTTTAAATACAAACAGAGATTACACAGATGTCATTTCCCTGCAACTGTCTGGGGAAAAAAAATGTAAAAGAGTTCCCTTTAAGATCTGCTCTGAAGTCTGATCAGTGGCACAGCTGTGTTGTTTCTGCCAGCTTTCACAGAGCAAGTTAAACTAATTCCTAATGTTAATGTTATTAACCCTGCCCCTGCAAGAAATCACAGTTTTAATATTTGGTTATTGATAAAAATCACATTTTCTTTGAACAAGCAAGACAACTTGTTTCATTAATTAACTATTTTCAGTTTGCTGATCTGCCTTATTCGTGCTCATGTCAAACAAACTTCTATAAAATGCTGAAACAAGGCAAAATGAACTGAGAGTGAGTAAAGCAATCTCACTCAGCTGACAGAAGATCAGACTAAGTGACTTATGAAGAGGTTGTTTTTTTTTTTTTTTGCAGAGTCACTGAGAAAGCTGGTTGGGAATCTTGCCCAAAGACATTTTGATGGACACACTGGCAGTTGTTTGGATCGCATCTGCGATAGTTCAGGTACAGGGCGATCCTTGTCACCAGTAAATTAAGCACATCTGATGTGTCTGCTTTCAGACAGCTGCTGAAATGCCACTGAAAGAAAAGACCCAGTTTTCTTTTAGGTCTCTGTTTAAACGGGACACGGCCCATTTTTTTCTTTTTCTTTCCCTGTGTGTCGGCTGTGCAAGAGGAACAAATTAACATAACAGAGAGCACATTTTAACATTTCACAAAGACTTCAAATAAAGTGACTAAATACAGGGGAAGAAAAATAACGCTTCAGTGAAAAGTAAAGGCACGTAGGATATCTTTTTTATGTCGACGGCAACAACAACAAGGGCAGATGAATCATAGTAAATAAAATGTTTAACACAGTGTGGTGTCCAGAGACTGTTAGAGTGGTAGGTGTTTATGACAACCCAGAACAGAAATAACTTTTGTATTTTAATCAGACATCCTCAAATTATGTGGAATTAAGATGACCACAATCGTTCAAAGTAAGTTTTGACAGCTGCAGGGAAATGGCACCCAATAACTGATTTAATCACCTTAAAGAATTGCTTTAAAATGTGTTGACACAGACATGCTAATAATAATAATTACACAGACTGACTGATTTGTCAATATAGAGGTCGTCAAATGTCCGTTGTACACTGAACCAAACTGGTGCCATTCTATGTTTTAACTCACTAAATATAAGACTAGAACTTTCCCTACTGCTGATCTTTTCTAAATCCTCCATCAGGTTTCACAGTCATTTCCTTTTTTAGCCATTTGCTTCAGACCATGTCTAGGGTTACACTTTCCTCTTTGCTCTTAAAGCTTAAAAGAAGCAAACATGGATGCCATGATGATAAGGATGTTTGGCCATTTCCTGCACAGAAGCAGGCGAATCTCTGAGTCACCAACAGGGAAAGCTTTCCTGCTGTCAGTTGCAGAACATGATCCCATAACGTTGATTAAAATGAAGTTCCCTAAATGTTGACAGTGTAGGATTATATATCTGCAGGGAGTGTCAACTAGCCTGACATTGAGCCACAATTGTCATTTCAATTCCATTTCAGTATTTAGTTTAAAATAGTTGGCCATTTTCTATGTTGTTTGGCCTAACCAGTCAGCAGTGTCCCATCCCTGTAACGGTTCCTTGGAGCAGTTATCTTTTTGTGCCGGGAAGAATTGTCGATTTAAGAGTTGTTGTCTTCTGTAAGTCCACTTACAATAACCTGTATAGTGACGTTTTTTACGTTGCTATTTTTCTGGCTCTGATGAGGTCACTATTCTTGATCCCATCTGTAAGGTTATGATTTGCTCCACTGAGCACAGAACGAAACCTATTTGAATCTGAAATGTGGGCGCGGATTCAAAGGTCTGGAAGTTTGATGTCTATAACTGAGGGAAGGAATCAGTCTAAGAACTGATGGATGATTTAGAAACTGATCAGTAGAAGTCTTTTAAAAATATAGTTTATAATCAATAAGCTAAAATGTGTAAAACCACCAGTATGACCATTTACCCTGACAATTTCCTCTGCTTTCATCTTTCTTCCCTTTTGAAACTGAAAAGATGAAATCTTGTGTCAACAGGCTATTTAATTTAGTATTTACTGCTCAAATCAGATTTTCTTTCTATAAATCAAATTTCAGACTTGCCCTACGGCGTTGGATCCTGTCTGTCTGCAGCTCTGCTGTGCTTGCTGAAGGAGGAGAAGAAGTGCTACTTGGACAAGAATGAAAGCACTCGGCTCAGACTGGGTGTATCTGCCCGAACACAGTGATGAGTTTGATCCCCACGCCGCCTGCTTGCATGCGTTCCTTCACCTTTCATCCCCCAACTCATTCTACAGAGACGTTACCTTTCCATCCCCTCCGTCCCCAGGACTTTTCCTCACATCTGTAACGGCCCAGTGAGCGTGAGCTTGAATCATAATATTTGAAACGGCGTTATAATGAATTCCCGGCCTCATTCCTCCGTGCCCTAGCTCGCACATACAAACCACCTCTGAATATCAATTCACCTCCTCTGCCTCCGCTCTCTGTCTCCCTCAGGCTTTTTCCTTTCATCGCAGAAAGATAAAGGTCTGAAAATTACAATATGGTGACTGGGGTGACACAGTCAAATATGGAGCATACTGATGACCTGTTTTTCCCCCTCAGCTGATTAATGAATCATTTATCATTTTAAGTTCCTGCCATTCTGCACACTGGCGTATTCTGACTCCAAATCTGATTTTTTGCTTTAAACGGGGGAGGTAATTCAACTTATTCCCATCTCTCTTGATTGAGGAAATTTGTAAAAATGAGGGTTGGTGTTTTGAAAAATGGATTGCTGCAGTAGAAGAAAAAAAGAGTTCCTCACCCAACTGGCAGAACACTTAAATTGTCTAAAAATTACAATTTTATTACTCAGGAACAGATTAACTTCTTAGGACTTCTTTTTTTTTTCTTTTTTTTCTTTTTTTACAGTGCATACCTTGCTCACTCTGCTTTACTGGGGTTTCACAAATTTATTTTCTCTCAGCAAATGCCTCCACAAAGACTAACAAAAAGAACCCCATCATCCTTAACAACCCATTAATTCTCACACTAATTCTCCAAATCAGATTTTTCCCCCCCTGCCGTCAATACAAATGTAGTAGAACTGGTCTCTGCACTGTGGTCCTGACTGACCTCATGTTACAGAGGTCATCCTGAAACCACAACACTGCAGGTTTTGCTCCCTCACTGCAAATTGTTTCCTCATTCCACATTTTTAAAGTAAGTAAATACCAGTTGATAAATGAATTTTTATTACAATTTGTGACGCATTCAAAGGCGGTAGATTATCAATTTTCAAGGGGGCTCATGACCTTTAAAGTAGCTCTCTGGAAATGTGTAAAAAGAAACCTGATTAAACAGTTCTGACAGGACAGCGAATGTAAAAATATACTTTGTGGAATATGCATATTTCTGTTTCTGTTACTTCTTTGTATTATTTTTGTATAAAAACACCCTGAAGCAAACTTAAAGTGAAGCTGGCGGTTTTGCAATTTTCCCATGTGGGCAATCAAGGTCGACAGAGGTACATGTGTGTCCCAAACAGTATATGGATTTTTTAAAAGCAACACACTCACCTTCAGTCAAACACATACTGAGACTGCACAAAGTGCAACAAAACAATGGAAGTGATTATTCTCATTCTCATCAACATCATCGGCTGGCCCACTACCATCTCTAATCTCAATAAAAAATATTAACTTGATCCTCGATCTTGTTGCCGTAACACCTACTTCACAATCTACTCTTCCACCACAGTAACACCAAATTTCCATTCATTCTGACTTTTTGATATTTTGTTGTTGTTCTATTTTATGTAAATAGATTAAAGCCTTTGTTGCTAGTTACATACAATGTGTGTTAGACGGATTATTATTGAGCTCCCGATTTCATGATCTTGTTATTTCAAGATAACAAACTTAAACAGTTTGTTATCTTGAAATAAACAAGATAGAGTCCTTGAAGATAACCTTGGTCCAGAGATAAGAGTTTAATCATTTATTAAGTAATAATTTAATAAACCGCTGTCTTGTGATTATGGCATTGTTACCTCTTTCCCAAGATGCTAAATTGTGTTTTGCCAGTGTTTCTAATTAATTTACTGTAACCTTGCTTTGGTGACTGTGCCTTTTTGTGCCTCTTTTGTGAACACATGAATAGGTGCCAACCAGCAGGGGAAAACGCGATGCACTGAAGGTGACATCTACACAGTACAACCTGACGCACTGTGAACAAGGTGTTAAGATCGAATTTTAACACGTTACTAAAAAACACCAATGATCATGTACCATTCAAAGCCAACCTTCATTTGTCCAGGATGGGATAGGTCCTACCACTCTAAAACCAGATTTCTTGTCAGATTTGTTCCGTCATCTTACTGCTTTCCAATGACTTCCAGTCCTTGTTTGGGACTGAGACAGACTTGAACAAGGAGCAAAAACAAAAAAAGGTTACAATAAGCTTTCCAAGATGAGAATTTGGCAACAACATGAGTCCTTGTAGCTAAAGATTGGAGTTTGTCTGGGTCAGAGAGAGTAAAGGCTTGGTAAAGAGCAGCAACAGACTGTGGGAGTCTATAGAGGTTTCTATACAGTCCTGTAAGAGTAGAGTCAGCCAGATCCAGATCCAGATGATTCAGACTGGTATAGTAGGTTCTCACACATGTTTCTATTCAGCCAAAATCTACTTTGTAATCCCTTTATTTTTTAATGAACCTCAGGGTCCAGAGGTGGAAGGGCTGCATGGGTCACGTCTGATGGTCGGTTCAGTGAAACCAGACGGTTTTGTTCCAGAGGGAGAAAGAAGAGAAGAAAGAGAGATATCCAGGATCCATGTGTCAAAAAAAAAAACAATACTTTGGTGGCTGAGGATGTGTTATCTATTTCTTACTCTAGGTACTGGATGTATTTTCAAATCATATACACATCCTGTGACTGACAAAGTTGGAATACCCAAACAAAAACCAAAATATAAACGCGATACTTCCAACAGCGATCATGAAAAATAAGTGAGGTACAGTCACAGTAACTGAGTTGCGGATAACTCAGCGGAGGAGGACGCTAATAAATACCACAAAGAAGAGAAACAGGAGGGATCTTATAACTTTGTCTTCTTTTTTGTGATAATCCCATCATCCTGTATCATTAAGTCAAGGCGCTAGGCATTGTGTTTTTCTAGTTTTGTGTTTGAGGTTGGAGAGTCTGCAGGGGTTTCAGTTTGAAGCCCCTCCACCCTTGTCCTGTTCTTGGAGCTGATGCTGTGCTGCTGTAGTGTTTATCCTTTGTTTAATTTCCTTCGATCCAGTCCTGGTCCCAAACAGTAGACACTGACCGAGACCAGTAGAAACCAAACAAACTCAACCCAGCACAGGTGGATGTCTGCACAGAGGCATCTTCAAACCCAGATTGACCTGTTGCCGCCCTTAGTGAATGGACAGCAGGTGATATCAAGGCTTAAAGAAGGTTTCCAGACTGGACCATGGCTGAGGGCTGGGCTGGGTTGGGGTCAGAGGTTAGAAGGCGGAGCCAGTAATGGCGTTGAGCTGCTTCATCAGCCCTTCTAGACTGGCCATCTGCTCAGAAAGGTCGTCCTGCTCGTAAACCTGAAAGGCAAAAAAATAAAAATGACAATGACCATGAGCTGAAGGTGTGTTTTTGAAGTCTGGAGTTTGGGATTGCAGCTCACCACCATCTTTGTTTGTTTTTGGAGATAAAAAATCTTACGTTAAACCAAATTTACATGTAGACCAATCATTAAAGATCAAGGACGTAGCAGTTGGTTGGTGGATAACCTCTGCGACAAAGACGATATTTCCAGTAGCTACTTCACAATGAAAGCCTTTCGGTCATTTGCCAGAGGAAATCTTTTAGCTTAACACAGCAAAAGACTGCAGCTCTGACAACTGGACAAAGCACAGTGGATCAGAAAACAGTGAGATTAGATGAAGGTCATAACAGAACTGTAGGAATGCAGCTTAACTCCTACTATCCACACCTACTAAACTACTGAAAGCTGAACATAATAAGCCTTTAAAAAATACAGATTCCGCTCTCAAGTAAATTTGATGATTCGCAGGTGAAAAGACATCTACATTAAACCCAGGCAAAATTTGGTTGAAGGATAAATGCACTGAAATACTTAAACGTGATTCTGATGTTGTTAGTGAATGCTAGCAAAAATAGGACTGAACAAAAATCGTCGTCCAGTGTGACTGCCACTTTGGCTGACAGTAGACACACAGGAGAGATGTTCCGCAGTGCTTTTGTGCTCCTTAACTATGACCAGGACGCAAATCCCTTTTTACATCAGAGAGGATCATCAAAGGCAAAATTTAGGAATATGACCTGGATGGTTTCACTTTTGAATCCATCTAGCCTGAATTTAACCCGGACATCTACGTAGATGTCATGAACTATTAATCACCACATCAGTGCTTCCTGTCACCCACATGACCACCACAGTTTACTGGGGTGACAGTTATTGTCATAGTTTGGCCTTACTGTGAGGGTTCAGTGGGCATTAGTATGCTGTGACTCAGCTAAAACATGCTGAACCAAACCAGTGAAGAAAGGACATAAAACACATAGTTGCTACCAGCTGTTTCTACATTTCTGTGCTAACACTTAACAATACAGTACACAACAATTTGAGTGGTTACTAAGGAGCTTTCATGGTTATCGACCAGACCTGGAGACATGACATCCCTTTCTTTGTATAGTACAACATTTTACTTTATAACTTTTGTGTTTTTTGGAGTATCAAAATTCCTTTAATAACTTGTGAGTAAGACAGTCCATAGATTATATGTGCAAAGTTTGGTGCAGATCTGACTCTCAGCCTGGGAGGGGTTATAAAAAGGAGGTTTGCTTATTTCATGATATTGCAACAAAATCGCCACCTAGTGGCCGATTGGTGCCAATGTTTGCACACAGCCTCAGTGGGGCATGGGAAAGTACTGACCCAAGTTTCGTGTTAATCGGACAGACCTAGGTGGAGATATGACATCACTTCCTGTTTTTCCTGTAACCTACAGGGAGTTGTTTCCTTATAACGTATAACAGACTAGGAGATCATTTATTAATGATTCATTAGGTAATAATTATTTAATATACCACTTTCTTAATGAGTCGTTCTGGATTTACTCCGAACTGGCTGCTGGGTAAAGTGGTACATGACTCTGAGTATAATTTTTTATGTATTTCTTTTACATTCAGTGACTCATTCATTCATTTTCAAGTCAACTCACACAAAAATGCAGATATCTGCAGATACCTAATCTATCACAATGAACGTCATGTCTGTTTTTATTTCTTTGAAAGTTCAGTTATTGTTGCGTGGCAGGGCAGTGCAGACTGTTCAATCTGCACCTGAATAAAATAAAAAGTGATTTATGTTGGCTGTGATGGATTATCTATCAGCAGCAGGTTTCAAATCTCTGTGAGTTGACTGAACTGAAACCAATGGCTGCCTGAAGGAAGGAAAACAGAATTAAAAGTTGGAAAATGATCAGGAATGCAACGTTCACAGGATTTACAGTTAACGAGCTAAATCAAGTGTAAAACCAGTGATAATATCCATGTTCTCCAACTGTGTCACATCAGGCTTGATAACAGTTTGCCTCCAAGTCAACCACATCAAACACATTAGACTTGTTGCTGTCACTGGCCTGCATTCATTTCAGGATGCACACACAGTGTGAACGGCAACACTTCTTTCCTGCAGAGATTCTGTGATCACTGTGTAATTTTGTGTTCGGTCCAGCTGTACAAACTCACCTCTGAGTGAGCCAGCTTAAGTACCTCCATTTCTGTGTATGTGTGTGTGACAGTCAAGTGCACATCTCTCACATACACACTCTCTTAGTGTGTTATATTGAGCGTAGCCTTCATGCAGAGTTTGACTTTGTAGTTGGAAAAAAAATATTCAATATTCTCCTCAGAACGCTGTGGAAAACCGATAAAGGCTCAGCGGAAGTATTCCTCACACTTACACTGAAAGGTTTGTGTCCATGCACACAACTTTCTCCATGTACTTAGCTGCATTATCCCTGTACAAAGTCGATGTACGAATCCTTCATTATAATGCACTGATCCTGCATAATTATCATGGTAGAACTCTAGTGAAAAAGTCACTTATTAAAGCCCTGTTACCAAATGCAGGTACAGTAAAAACACAAACTACAAAACCTGCACTTACTAATGTATACAACACTTGGTATTGCATGTACAGCAAATGTGTCTGATCCAGATTTGAAAATCAGATATCAGTCTGGTCCAGTTAAAGCTTTTAACCTGACCAGTCATGTTGGATCCATTGAGACAACTTAGCTCCCCCTCCAGTCATATATAGATTGTTTTATATCGCCTCCATTTAAATGATCAGTGGGGCCCAATTACAGCAGAATTCAGTAACAGTTAACAAACATCCTGCATCCACAAGCCGCAGCCAGTCCACTAACAACCAACAGACAGCTAGGTCATACTTTCACAGCCAAAGCATATTCAATTAATAATCTTGTAAAAGATTTAAAGCAGTTTAAAATATATTTCCACAACACAACATTTCTGATGCTTCGTGTGTGATATGTTGTTCTTCTGTGTTATTATTCGAGTGAGTACTTTGCGGTAAACACTTTACTTTGTGCTATTGAGTATTTATCATGAGAATACAAACAGTGAATAAATGGATTATAACACACTGTCAATTTTATGTGTTAATTAATGTGCAGTAAGTTAACAATCACATCTTTTCCAATGAGGACATATTTTATATTACTTTAAATAGTTATTGCTATTGTCATTCAGGATCTGTTTATATATGAGCATTCACCCACAGAAAGAGTTATAGTACTCGATAAATACATTAATGAACACTTATATCTGCTTAAAACTGCATTATAGTGCGTTAAACATTCATAAAATCTTAATATACTGATTATAAATGCTAAACAGGGGACTTAAATGACCTATGCCAACTTTAAGGGGGTGTTAGGGTTCACACTAGCTAAACTATATTACACATTTAAATACAAAGATTCCTTTTGTTTTACTCAGACAGACCTAAATGGTGAGAAATATACCTAATACCTAAATATTTTTTTGTGTAATTTAATCTGCGATGGTAGCCTACTGTTTATTAAATGTTTTCGTTGAAATCAACATTTAAATAATGGGTTGTAAAAGTCTTTAAAAATGCCTTTTCTGCTCTGGATCCTGTGTTTTTAATTTTCAACTGTGCCATTTCAGCAGGTGACATAAATCTCTCTTCATACATAAAGACATCATTTTAAAGACATAAATGCTGTGGAGATTCACATTACAGGAAGCAAAAGGACACACGGCACCTGTAAAGTTTCCTTTATCTGTGAAATACACACAGAGTGTGGCCATCTGACCTCCTCCACTTTAACTCTGAATGTGACCATGAAAGCTCATCTAGAAACCCCACACTGCCAGGTACTTTCCACTTTCCACAGACAAAAAGGCTTCTGTAAAAATAATAAAAGTGTATAAACCCCGAGAAAATCTCAGTGACCTCCTGATCTCATTTGTCGACCAGTAGCAGCAGAGTTTAACTGAGTCTGTAAACGCTTCATCAATGGGATAAAACGGCCGTCGATGCCCCATGTTTCTCTCTGATATCCTGTTATCTCTGTCGGCCTGCTGACCTGGATTCACGCTCCTCTTTAATCCGTCGGAGGTTCATCCCAGAACCTGTGAAGAGCACATGTAAACTCCGCTCCACACTGACACAGACAGAGCTTACATGTCTCAAGGTTTCCACCCACATATTCCAAAGGCTTTCCTAAAGTTGGTCTCTGAAACTCCTACATGTTAAACTGTTAAATCTCTGCACTGAAGGCTCACAATACAGAATAACTTGTTACTAGTGAAAGCTGGTTCTGAAGGAGAAGTTGTTCCAAATTTGTGATTACCTGGAGTCAGCTGCGCCAGCTCTTCGCAAGTTGGCTTAGTTCTAACAGAGGCGTTTACTAAGGTGAGATTTACGCATCACTACATTAAAACAAAGCTGCACCACCCAAACTAAATCTTACTTGGAGATGAGTTGTTACTTGATATTTACACCCAATAACTAAAGTATAAATTCTGTGTATCTAACTGAACCAGCTAACTGACAAAGCTAATGTTAGCTAATATCAGACCGTTTACAGAAGACTGAAGAGTACAGGAAGTAATGTTGTTCATATTACCTGTTCATATATGACCTGGCGATGCTGTTTATTTTACTGATTATTCTTATTTTCCAGTCCCCACCAGAGTATGTTTTCCCCAGTCAAATGTTGACATTTCTACCACTGTCCAGTCCTGGTGTATATCTACAAATGTATTAGGACCAGCTGTAATTCCAGTTTCAGATATCTCCAGTTTAATTCTGCCAAGTCATAATTCCAGTTAAAGATCTATTTAGTTCTCCTAAATTCAAGACACAATCTATATGTTCTTTTTGAGATATCTTGCATTAAGTTTTAACTAGTCAGAATGACATAGATATCTAAAACTGGAATTCTGAACATTATTTAATTGTAGATATCTGTTATCAAGTTATAGATATATAGATATTGATATCTCAAATTGGAAATAT